ATCAAGATCATTTTCCCGATACGGTTCAAATAAAGTCGATGTCCATATAATGGGCATAACATCTATTTATAGCACTTGAAAACTTATTTTAGTTAAGGACATTTGTCCCATTACTTTAAAATGTTTGTTAACTGCAACTTCTGACTTGTTCTATTCACCTCGCTCCCCGCTTATATTATTGCCAGGGACTTGTCCTACAATCAGTTGCAGCTTTTGCCTCGAGGGCTACTTAGCAACAACACCAACCTGACAGAACTGTAAGTAAAACTGGTTGTGAAACAAAAAAGAAAAGCAAAGTTTCAGGTAAAATATAGATAATTAATAATGGTGGCCTTTAAACACTTAAAAAGTTTACTTATATCTGCTTCGACGTGATCCGCTATCGGATGAATTGATTCAATGATTAGCGTTATTTGGTTTTGGATCTCAGAATGCGTTCGGTGGGCCCACTATTAATTATTGTCTAAAACGAAACGTCTAACGGTTTACTACATGGAGCTATTTTTCACTGAGGGAATCTGCTGCATATTGGTTTTTCCTGGCCATTGTTTGTGGGGTCAGGGGTATTACAAATGTCTCCATTCGCCCAATTTAAATCTAAAAACACGTTGCGGTGTATAACTGGTTGGCTCGTTTGGCTCCTGTTTAGCTCATACCAAAATACTTAAGTAGCGGGCTTTCAGCCCATTTTTAAAGTAGGATTTAAGTTCTTGAATCGTTATTTAGTTTACTGTTATCTGAATAAATACTTTAAGGAATTTGTCAAACAACAAAATTCAGCGTCTACCCATGGATGTTTTTGGCAACCTCACTAAGATGAAAAGGCTGTAAGTGGCATTCAGCCCTAAGCGGCAAAGGGAATTATAATGTATGGTTTTTCATAAAGCTTAAAGTAAACTTATGCAGTATAGTAATAATAACAATATTTTAGCAGGGAGCCCACTTCACCAAAAGGTGCTCCTCAGTGGGGCCCTGCATTATGACCATTCTGAAAACAGAGCTGCGCGAACTTAGATTTTGTGATTATTTCAAGATGCGTATTGGCTTTATATAATTCTAACTTTTGTGGAGTTGATCTTCAAGAACAATTGAAAGAAAATGGTCAATATTAAATTCAATTGTCTCACACTGCCTTTATTTTCACGTGACTTGTGACTATCATTTTTTTTTCGCTGAGTAACCAAAGAACTCTGTTAAGATTGATTTGTGATGTAAGTGACATAATATAGTTTGGTGCATCAGTACTGAAAAGTGATGTCATGATATGAAAACGCCCATGTTAACAATGAACGTGCAAATGGTATCTTTTACCTAGATTCTCAGTACCAGAAGTAAACAGTTTATGTACTCAGCAAAAATGTGTCAAGTTTTATAATTCCTCAAAATAGCTTTGCCAGAACCAATTGGGTTTTTTTTCAATAAAGTTAAAGTCCTCCCTATTCGGGGAGAACAAGAACTTTTCCAAGAATCTCAAATTCTATTTTAACTGACTTCTTTTTCATTCTATATATTACTTTAGCTTTCTCTCCAGTAACAAACTTCAGCGCTTGCCAAGGTTAAAAAATCTCTCCAAGTTAGAAATATTGTAAGTGATTGACGTTTGTAATGTAACTGGTTCAGTAAGTGTCTTGCTAATGAGCATTAATTAAAGGTAGCGTTGGCCAAAATCAGCTTCGGTACGGACTCTCTCTATGGCATCTTCTTATGACATAAAAGTTTATTAAAAGATGTTAATTGAGTAAGTTAAAAGTTAAAAATATGCATCTACTTTGGAAAGAGATGCCATCAACTAAGAATTACCAAGAGTCAAATGTTTAAGGTGATAGAACAAAATATAACACAACACGTCCTGTACAATACATTAATAACACCCTTCCCTTACGTTAGAAATGATCGCTGATTGATGATTAACCTAAATCAAATTTCAATGATAAATTGTTATTTTTCTGAAAAAATTGTTTACCGGCTATTAAAATTTTTCGTCAATATTGAGATAATTTGGGATTTAAATGAAAATACAGGATCCATAGATTCCAGTTTTTAACAAACATTTTCCTGTAAGCTTTTCGACATGTTCCAGAAAAGGGTTGTTTCAATTAAAAGCATAGAATTCCGGGTGGTGCGATTACAAATGCGCGCTTTAACTTGATTGCAAAAGTAAATGGGCACACGTCCGATCATTCATTTAAATTTCACAATAGCGTTACCAAGGTTTAACCATTGTTTTCATGGTGGCCAGCATAGTTCTTTCGGTGAAGGCGTAATATGATGGGACTTAATTGTTTCTGTCGCAGTGCACGCAGCAACGTTTTGGTCCAAATACACTCACAGGACGAAATTGCAAGAATCCGTAAACGGAAACGTGGCAGAAACATGTTAAACCGTTCTGGAAACACGACGGATAACCTGTGTTTCCGTTACCGGTTTCGTGGCGTTTTGTCGCGTTTCCGTTGCTGCGTATACAACGGAACCGGACCACTTTTTGTGCATGTTAAACATAACGGAAACATGGAGTCGCATGTTTCCGCCACGTTTCAGAAATACGGAAACATGTGATTTCGTCCTGTGTACTTATGGGACGTTTTTTCAGGAAGTGTTGGAGCACACTGATTAGCACTAAAACAGTTTGCCAAATACCAAGGCACTAAATACACTTATGAAGGAGGTTTCGATTATAAACATGACTGACTTTAATAAAGGATGAAACAGTTTCTATAATATGAGACAGGGTTCAGGACAAAATTGGTCTCGAGGTCCTTAAAAGATAAAGGTGGGTCAAGGTTACTTAAGGACCTCTGAGTTTCGCAGTCAGCTGTGTGCTGCCAACCACCACTAAAGTCAATAAATACCTCCCCCCGTTGAAGACTCTAATTATACCGAGCGCCTGGTGCACTTAGGTACATGTATAACAACAGCCTCGCAGCCCTGTCACCTGATCAGTTCCAAGGCCTGTCCAAACTGGAAGAACTGTAAGTAAACATTCGATAGAAATCATACCTGACTGCACAAGTAACTATTCTTGACCAAATATGTATTTAACCAACTTTAATTGATATTCATTTGCTCGCCGAATTGTTCAGCTTCCTTGTTTTACTCTTGGTTGGAGAACACACAACTGCAAAAACAAGGAAGGAGTAATTCTCGAAAGTACAAGTATTCAATATTTTTTTAGTTTTACAGAGGGTCAGTAGAGCGAATAGACCTTTCTTTCCTCCTCCCACCACTTTTGCCCAAAGTTCCGCTAAATTTTTAAGGCAATGTACTTTGATTGAATAAAGCTCAGAAAGTTTAGCAGAATTCTGAAAAAGATGCTCTGTCATCCAAGATAGCACCTGCCACCTCGGATTTCTCTCGGAAAAGACAGAAAAAGAAGGAGATTAGAGATAAAGGAACTCCCCAAAAAATTCAACAGATAAATGGAACAATGCTTTTAAAGTAGTCCAAATATAAGCATGCGCTAAGTTTTGACATTTTCAGCAAGGTAACCGCAAACTGCACATCAGTCTAACTTTTACGCATTTCTGGCTGTGTTTTTTTGTACCTTTTTACTGTTTTCAAAATCGGATAGCTTTTGAAGATATCGTGGGGAGAGGGCATTTAAAAATCAATAAAGATAGGAAGGAAGTTTATGTAAATACGAGCTTTCTTCCAAATTTTTCTATATTTCTGATAATAATAATTTGTCCTCTTTTTTGTTCAAGGGCTGTTTATGAAAACAATATCGACTACCTGCCGCGTGAAGTTTTTAAAGGCATGAAAAACATGATTTCTATGTAAGTATCTGTCTCTAAACTTTCCTCTAAATAACATTCTTTGCTAATTTTCTGTCCATTGTTGTTATAATTTATACCTTGATGCTTGTCAATTGACGCTCTACACTTTTCATTGTTTCATCGTTCTCTAGGAGCTTTTATTTTAACAATATCCGTGCCGTTACCAATGAACAATTCAAAGATGTCGCTCCAACTATTCGGTTCCTGTGAGTATGAGTAAACTGATAATATCCCAGATGTGTTCAAACTACTTCGAGTTCAAGGGAGACAGATATCGTTGGTGCGACCTACACGTGCCGTAAACTTACGGATTAGCGCCCATTTCCCATTTTAATGAATGGACAAGTGATAGCATTGTGCCGCTACTAGAAGTTAGGATCGGCTTTATACACTAATGCACAATTTATACTTTTATTTGCGCCCAAATGTTATACTCCTTTGGATGATCATATCTGGTCACGAGAAAAAGTTTGGGAAAAACTTAAGGGAGGGCCCCTCCCCATAAAGTACCCTCTCGGTAATGGGGGACCCACCGTTTCAGCCTTAATTTGAAATGAGTGCACTAGGTGCTCATTGGAGGATTAACAGCATATGAATATAACAAATAAAGACACTTCGGCATAGCTTGTGTAAGTATGTTTTACACGCTCAATGACGAGTTATTCGTATTCAGTGTCAGTTTTCTATCAAATAGTTGTTGAGAATTGGGCGAGAAAAGGAAAAAGAGAGAGCCGAAAAACTGATTAATACATAATGGTAATAGGACAGAGTGGAGTCCAATTCGGTCTGTAATCATACGAGCGATCAACAAAATCAGACGATCGCGAGGTGGGAGTCCGATTTGTTAATCACGAGTATGATTACAGACAGAATTGGATAACAAGAAGTCCTGTTACCAAGTAATCATAGCCATTTCAGTTTCCGAAAAAACAAATACACCTAAAACAAATATCTCCAGTGAAGACAATATCTTTAGTTAAAAATTCCTCCATTTTGAAAATTCCCTAGTTTTTCTTTGAGTAATTGGTTGTTGCTATGATTATTTCGATCATTTCTGTGCTTGGAGGATTAGCTGAGTGGAGTTAGCATGATTGGCTGCTTCAACTGTCCGATTTCAGTAGCCCGATTACAGCCAACTGTCCGATTACACTGTCCTATTACAACTGTACAGAATGATTAGTGAAAAATGAAGCTGCAAATGCACCAATAACATTCGAAGAATTTGTAATGGTTGTGATTAATAGACTAAAGATGTCAATGTAATCGAGAATTAGCAAGCAAATTTTGCCTGAATGTCTTTCCTTAAATTTGCAGGTACTTCCACTACAACGAATTGCGAGAACTACCAGAGGGTTTCTTTTCAAACATGAATAATCTAATCACTGCGTAAGTCAAGTGGAATATTCTGGATGCGAGAGTTGAAAATAGAAAAATTTCATTTGCCAGTGCCCAGTTATACTGTAATTAGAGTATTACTATCACACTTTCATTTTCTTAAAAGTTGAGATCCTGTGACGGATCAAATTTGTCTTTTTGTCCCTTTTGTCGTTCATTTGAACTCTTTTTATGAACCGTAGGACTGTAGACACCAACCTGATGTGTTGCCATTTGACGAAGGAGGACGCAGATTGCGACTTTGCTTATGTCGACAGCTTCGCCAGTTGTGAAACTTTGTTCAGAAATCGAGCTCCTAGGGAGTGCCTCTGGGTGATTGGAATTATGTCGTTGGTTGGTGCTGTGTTTGTCATTGTGTGGCGGTTGGTGTTTAGGGAGACGAAGAAGAAAAACAAGATACAGTCCATCATGTTGATACATTTGGCTGGGTCTGATGGACTTATGGGTGTCTACCTCATAACTATAGGTGTGGTGGATGCCATTTGGGCCGGGGAGTATTATTTGCATGACTATTACTGGCGTTCAAGTTTGACATGTCAGATAACAGGTGCCATTGCCGTGTTGTCAAGTGAGGTGTCTGTAATGACAATTTGTTTGCTCTCCGCCGACCGGATGAAGAATGTTCTGTTCCCCTCTCGTGGAAAGTCCCTTTCACTTAAGGTTACGCACCTTTTGTGCTTCCTTATCTGGATTGTTGGTGGCATAATTGCCTTTATTCCCACGGTGGGCTTTGACTACTTCGGTAGTCGCCAGAAAGGTCATCACTTTTATGGCAGATTAGTTGTATGTCTGCCATTGCAGCTTTCTACTGATAAGTCGTCGGGCTGGGAGTACTCTGTTGCCATGTTTGTTGGTTTAAACTTTACCCTTGTGCTCTTTGTTGTTGTGGCATATGCGATGATAATCTATAAGTCTTGCGCATCAAACAGGCTCATGGCTAAGCAAGGGAGCAAAAGAGAGAGGAGAATGAAAGCCAAGTCAAGGGTAGCCGATCTAAGGAGAGAGGCCTCGCTCGCCAAAGGAGTGTTCTTCATTGTTCTTACCGACTGTGTCAGCTGGCTGCCTATTGTGGCGATTGGAATGAGGTCTCTCTTGGAAAAATCCTTCCGTACACCTGGTGACCTCGCAGTTTGGATCGCAGTCTTTGTTCTGCCAGTTAACTCTGCCATTAATCCCATTCTCTACACCTTGTCTACCCCACAGGTACATGTACTAATAACTTGAACAGTTGGAAAAATATATATACAGCCAATAAATTAAATTTTGCACTTATATCATCACAGATCACAGATTACATCTAAATTAGACAAGAATAAATAAGTGGAACACGAACCGCTAAGAAGTGTCAAGAAGTGTGTTTTACCGTATTTTATATTAGCTGGTAAACTTGATTTCCGCCATTTCTGGGATCCCTCTGCCTCAGAACTCTCTTCTGAATGTAAAACGTGCACGTTTTCATTGTATCGCACTCGGTTTGAGAATGGCTGGAAAGCTGCACAAACATAGTTTGCATTTGTGGGGAAATTAAAGACTCGAAGGGTTCAGAAACTGGTGAAGAAGCACTATTTACTGATTATAACTTCGTGCTTTATTTCGATGTATTAAGGTCCGAGGAGTCATCAGAGCCAAACTCCAACCATTGTGGGATTATCTGGTGGCAAAACTCGGCCGAAATCAAGATGTTGAGGGTAATTTTTGACACTTTTAAATAATCTTTCTTCATTCTGGGAAGTGTTTTTCCCGTTCTTTAATTTTTTGGTTTCATCCTATAAAGTTACGTTTAAAACAAGTTTAAGAACAGGTTTACCGTGGGTTAATTAATCAGATCGGCTCGTAAGCCAAGAGATACTTTTTGTTACCTATATGAATAAGAAACAAACAGATGTATGAATCTAGTGGCGCTCGAGCTTGTGTATTTCATGTAAACACATAGGTAGACTCAACCTCAAATGATATAAAAAGACGTTGCCTCATGAATGAATAATTTTGTTATTGCTGATGTTTTGTCCACTTGCTTGTATTTTTCCGTCAGTTCAAGATCAGGGAATAGAGATGAGAGTTATCGAAGAAGGTATGCACCATTCACTTCTCCACAGACTAGAACACATTTCAGAACGCAACACCTTATAACCAGTTTAAGAAACGCGTAAAAAGTAATTTAGCCTCCAGTTTGAAGTTTACAGACAACCATATTTTGAGTCAATTTAATGACTGTAATTTTTCGTTATGTAATATACTTAATCCTACTTTGACTGATTCTTAACTACTATTTAGTGGAGGGAAAACCTATAGATTTTGTCACCACTAACAATATTTCGCTTTTTATGTCGTAAAACAAATAGAAGTCACTCACATAAAAATGGAAATGGGCTAAGAACATCAGAGAGTTAATCGGCTGAGTCCACTGCACCACGTTTTTGATGTTACCACATTCCGACGTCATCTGTGATCTATGAGTGAACAGACGCACGGCAATATAGGCTACTTGCTCGGTCGACCCTGAAAAGTTTTTAAAGAATGGTTTTAGTAAGGTATCAAAGCCACAAAGAGATATTCGGAAAGAGCAAGGGTGGAGCGTAAATGATTTAGGATGGAGAAGTTACACGATGCAGGGACCAAATGCAAAAAGCACGATGTAGCTCGTTTAACAAATTTGGCGATTTGGCCAACTACAACCACCTGAGCAAACACTTTTTAACCTCATTCCCTTTTTGTGTTTATTTCATTGAACACAGTTCAAAACCAAGAGGAAGTGGGGAGCGCTGACGATAGTGAGGATGAGTCGCAAGAAGAACAAGGAGATGGTGAGCACCATGCAGGATCAGGCGAAGAGAATGAACAACCTCCTGAATCCCAGCAAGTTGAACGTGAACAAGACGAAGAACCAAAACAAGGAAAAGAAGAAGCCACTGAACTGCAGCGAGTTGAACGTGAACAAGACGAAGAACCAAAACAAAGCCAAGAAGAAGCGACTGAACAGCAGGAAGTTCAACGTGAACAAGACGAAGAAGAACCCATTGAACAGCAGCACGTTGAATCTAAAGGAAACGAGGCACCAAAAGATAACCATGAAGAACCCACTAAAAAGCAGGAATTTGAACAAGATCATCAAGCAGATTCAAAGGGAAACAAAGAAGTAAGTGAAACGCAACGAGAAAAAGAGGAACTAGATGACGACGATGAAAAACCTGAGCGAAAGCTAAAAGGAGACGACCAGGGATCCAAACAACAGGGCACTCAAGAAGAAGAAGAAGAAGAAAAAGAACCGAATGTCGACCATGCAGAACCTGATGAGCTAAAGGATGTGAGTAAACAGAAGAAAAAGTCGAAAAGAAATGAAAAAGAAAGAGAACAGCAACAAGATGAGCAGGAGCAAGAAGAACACCCTGAAGAAACCGAAAAGCAGCAAGTTGATTGTGATCAAGAAGGACGAGAACAAGACCATAAGGATCCTAAACTGGAGCAAATTGGACAAGAAAAACCAAAAGGAGACGATGAAGATCTTAAGAAAGTCGAAGTGGATTATGAACAGCCAAAAGAAAACCATGAAGAACCTATGAAAGACCAACTGCAGCTAGGAAAACCAAAAGGAGAGAGTCAGGAACCTAAAAAAGAGCAACTGGAAACAGATAAACCAAAAGGAGAGCATGAAAAACCCAACCAAAAGCAACTTGAAGACGAGAAGTCAAAAGGAGCTTGTAGGGACTCCCAAAAGCAGGTTGATGATTCAACGGAAGATAAATCTTCACGAAAACAGCAGCTGATTATGGACGAAGGTACGTTTTGCCACCCTCCATTTTCGCCAAAATTCAAGTTTTGGAGGATTAATTTCTCGCTAATCAGGCTGGGTAGAGGAAATATTTCTTGATTACTCCAAACTCTTGGTTATTTGTTTTAATGTTAACTAAAGTATCATGATAATGAGTTGCTTTGTTATTCAACAGGACAATACGAAGAAGATGATGCGGTGCTGGATACACGTCTGTGATTGCTAGCATTGACTCATCAAGTCCTTTTTAGTTCTAGTTATCGTTTTAGTAACAGAAAGGTTATATACCGCTATATCATGAAAATGATGCATTTACTTAACCAAGAGCATTAGAGAATAACTCATATAAAGTATTACAGTGACTAGTGCGAGCCCGCAATGTTTGTTTTCATTTTTTGATCATCTCAGTTGTCGTAGATGAAATTGCAAAATACTCTTAAAAACTGTACTCAGCTACGCAGTAAACTGAGTGATTTCCCGCCAATGCCGCGGGTTGCATGTTCTAG